CCCCGCAGTAGATATCGAACTTGGGTTTTCCGGGAGCACGAGCTGTCCACATAGCCTCGGTTTTCTTGTAGTTGATTGGTTGTACAGATAGGATGGAATAAAATTCCAGCCACTCAAAGAATTTTTTAGTCTAATCTCTAAATCCAAACACTGACGCGAGAATTTGGCACCGATCATACCTGCCAATACACTTGCCAGGTCGTCTGCAAAAAAATTTGGGGTAGAGCATTCTATAAAGGTCCACATATCTGAATGATATGTGATAAAGAGGCAAGGAGTGAAGGAAGAACCCTGGGGCCCTCCGCGCTTAATTCGAAATGAACGGGACCTCTTCCCTTCTATCTCAATGAAACTACTTCTACCCCTAAGCCACATTTCTATCCACTGGACAAAGGCTGTAGGAATACCCAGACGCCGCAATTTTCCAAGGCAGCCTTCCCACCACAGCTAGTCGAACGCTTGTTTGAAATCCACAAAAATAGTTGCAACGGGAGAGCTATTACTCATGAGTGACGAGATTTGATCGATCAAGAGCAGGACCCGGGTTTGGAGACGGAAATTAGACCGAAAGCCCGATTGAGAATTATGAAGAATACCCCGGCTTTCCAACACCTTTTGGAAACGGATAACGAACAGGCGTTCTAAAACTTTAAGAAAAACATCAAGAAGTGAGATAGGCCTAGTATCTGAAGGTAAACAAATGGCTTCTTTTTTAGCTAACAATATCATTCTAACTTGTTTCCAGTACGTAGGACTGATAAAGGAGGATACCGAAGCGTTGAAGATTCTCAATAGGCCTATCCAGTATGGAAGGGGGATAAATTGAAACATATAGGAAGAATTCCCATGGGAATCAAGAGAAGTTTTCTTTTTACATTTGGATACAGCTTTCATAAGCTCCGGAAGAGTTATCGGGGGAGTTGTTTCGTTCGCGTTGTCCCAATCGGACACGACTGAATCAGTATATGGATGCGGTCGGTATACGGCCGGCTCTTGAAATAATTTTTCGTAATGATCCGCCGCCATACGCAGCATATCATCGGTTTCATTACAAACTTCGCCAGAATCTGACAAAAAAGGATTTCAAAGAACAACTTGTTTTAAAGTTTCTCCTCAACTTAGACCAAAAAGTCACCGAATTTCTGGAGCTTGTGAAACGCACATCCATCGACTGAATCAGTCGCGAGTCACGATAACTGCGAAGACTTTCTCTGTTTTCCTTACGTAATTCTTTAACTCTAGCTTTCAAAAGTATATTACCGTTGCGTTTCGCTTTCCACGATAACGCCCGAGCATACGAAAGCTTCATCCGAAGTTCTTTGGGAATAGAGACTCTATACTTTTCTAACGGGAAATAAAAAGTACCACGAATTTTCAGAGCAGAAAGAAAGGAGACGAAGTTAGAGTAGCTTTCTTCCGCAGACGAATACTTAAATTGGTTAGACCAAAAATCACTAACAAAAGATAGAAAATAATGAAAAACCCCCCAGTGAATATTGCTACCAACCGCTAACTCTTTTCGCTCACAACTTATGACTCCGCAGACCGGTTTATGATCGCAAGGGGAAGAATTACTAGGGTGATAACTGGATTATTTTTCTTTCGTTTCTTATGCAAAAGGACCGCACATAAAACAATTGATAGCAATAAAATAATTTCAAATATAATATAAATTACGAGATTATTTGACACTTGATTATTTCCGAATGAGAGAACGAATTGATTATTCGATGAATTCGTGTTGGATGTTGTAATGTGGGTTGTTGTGAGTGTGGATTTGTTGTGAGCAGTAAATTCTTCAATGATTTCTAGTTCTATTTCATCTTCAAAATGGTTGTTCGATCGGAATGGATCTTTCCAGCTAGCAGTATGAGAATGTTTGAAAACATCAGATAAGGTCTGATTTCACTATTCTGGCATTTCCAAAAACGCTTCACGTCACAACTTAAGGGTCGGGAAAAAACCGTGTTCGGAATGATTTTTCCAGGAAAGACAGTAGATCCTTACATACTTTTAGTAGTACTATCGATTTCATATACTTCCTGGCTTTTAGTTCATGCAATACTGTCCTCTTAGTTCGTCCTAAATTGACTTCTCAATTCGCCCTATGAAGCTTTTTTTCTCAGTTCGTCCCAAAACTCTTTTTGTCAATTCGTCCCAGATATCTATGCACCCGCCGCAAAATAATTACTCAATAATTACTTTTCTCCTCGCCCAAATTAAAATTTTAACTTTTCCTTAGAGAAACTCTAAATTTTCCTAAACTTTACTGGTATGTTCATTTTGTTCAGAAACTGAATGATGTGAAACTGGACTTGAGATATTTAAAAAAGTTCTTGCTGTTCGTCGATTTTTAGATGTAGACGGTAGAGTCAGTGCTGGCGAGGATGATACCGCGAAGTCATCCAGTTGTCACGTACGAAAATCTGTACATGAGAATCAAAGAAAGCCACGACATGGCTGGTCATCATGGACGAGACAAGATGTGAATCGAGGTATGAGAAAAACATGTGTAAAATTAGGCTCAATGTAACCTTGTCTTATCTAATGTTTTCAAAATGTCTGGACATTTTTATAGACCTAATATTTATCGAATGAACAACTGGAGCCGAACCTGGAAAGTTTTAGTATTGCTATTCCGCAAAATGATTCTCAAGCTCTACATTTACCTTTAGGCCATTCAGTTGAATTATTTGATTGCATCCATTTGCCAAGAGCTAATTCCAGTGTGTGATTATCACCCTCAACTGAGCCCTGTGTTTGAGGATGACGAGGGCGATTATTGATAATGACAAGATCATTCCAAGTGTTTTGTGCTATTTTAGTACATAAAATATATGAAAGATCATGTAAAGCGAATTCTAATTTAGTACCCTAATAACTTTAGCCTCAAATTCTTTTCCATTATCGGACTGTAATATTCATGGTGTTCGAAATGAATAAAATTGTCATAGGAGTTTTGCAGCAACAGGTTCAGCTTCCTTTGATTTTAACGGGTAAGCTCAAGAAAATTTAGAAACATGATCTTTTGTATGGAGAATCCATTTGTATTATTCATCTGGCATACTTCGCATATTGATCAAATCCATTTGAAGTCGTGTTAGGTATCCGACAGATACAATCGGTTTGTTTTCAAATAGAAAAATACTCTACTAACTGATTTGCTCACGCACTCTGACATACCTACTGCTGGTTTTAGGGATACTTTCCGGTTACTACATGCGTCGCACTGTGAAATAAATAATTTTACACTATAGAGTGGTATCCATGAATACTGATCTTTCACCTAAAAGACAAGGTTACATTGAGCCTAATTTTACACATGTTTTTCTCATACCTCGATTCACATCTTGTCTCGTCCATGATGACCAGCCATGTCGTGGCTTTCTTTGATTCTCATGTACAGATTTTCGTACGTGACAACTGGATGACTTCGCGGTATCATCCTCGCCAGCACTGACTCTACCGTCTACATCTAAAAATCGACGAACAGCAAGAACTTTTTTAAATATCTCAAGTCCAGTTTCACATCATTCAGTTTCTGAACAAAATGAACATACCAGTAAAGTTTAGGAAAATTTAAAGTTTCTCTAAGGAAAAGTTAAAATTTTAATTTGGACGAGGAGAACGTAAACTTTCATCTTTTCATAGAGTTTTTCCAGAAAAAGTTCCAGTTTTAATTTGCCCAGGAGAAAATTAAATTTTAAATTTTCCTGAATTTTAATTTCTCCTGCATATACAAGAAATTTATTTTGGTAGATAAAGGAGGAGTGGCGGTAAGGTCATTTTTTATGTCACACTCTTTTGGCGAAAAAATCACATGGTTGTAATCAGCATCGAATTTTGAACAAAATAGTCGGTTCAGTTTTTCCAGAAAAAAAGTTTCATTTTTTTCAAAAAATTTTTGCCCTTACTTGGAACATCGAAATTTTTGGTAATTTCAACGAAAGGTACATCATTCAGCCTATCATCATCAACCGACTCACTAACATGTTTTAGAAATTAGAAACGCACTCAGTCGTGTTCAGAATTGATGTAAAATATGTTAAATAAAAAATTAAAACACGGTTCTGTATTTTTTCTAGGTCAAAAACCGAAAAAACAGCGAACAATACCGTTCTTTAGGCACTTCGATCTAATATTACGGGAAAACAAAGTTTTGATCCCATGAGTGAAATGTGTGGCTCGACTCAGTTTTTACGCTCTTTTCGAGTATGACCTTAAAATCGGAAAACAGTTTTCAAACATTGTTAAAAATTGAAAATGCGGGGAAAAAGCCCTATAATACGTCGACTTTGGGCGCCAGTGATGAGATGCAGCTTACTTGATGCAGTTCTCGACGCTGATTCCAATGGTGAAAGCCGCAGTTTTCTGGCTGTGTAGGAAAAAAAGTTATAGTCAACATATTTTCTAACGGAAAGTCGGACTTTTATCATTTTCCAACGAAAATTCTTTTCCAACTCATCAAATATTTATACCTCAATTCTCATATTCATTTAATCCACCATATTCACACACAACAACTTTATATCAACATCCAATATCAGTCACAGCTGCTTGCAACGATAGTTTTCCGTCTTCACGATCAACTATATACTATCCAATGCAACCACCTGGTGAGATTCAACAAAGTTGAAAAAGAAATTAATTCCCTAACTGTTCTGTACACAACGAGCCAGTTTCGAGATTTTCCGACCAATTGGTAATAATGTAGTCTCTGAGTAATGGAAGCATATATACTACTACTTAGTTTAATGTGAGCAGAAAGAAGATACTGAAATCATTCACTTTCAATAAACCAGAGCTACATCTCGCCAACTTCTTGTAAAACGTCATTCATATAACAACAATCAGATACGCGAGATTCAACAGATATTGTGCGGACATTATAACTACAAGAATAACATACTATTCGCGTACATTTGGAATAATGATAATAAGTCAAATTAAAATTATATGAATGTTCACATTTGTAACTTCTTTGTTGAATCTCACCAACTGGTTGCATTGAATAGTATATAGCTGACTGTAATGACGGAAAAATATCGTTGCAGGCACTCGTGACTGATATTGGATGTTGATGTGAAATACATAAATCGGATAAAATGTAAAATCCGATTAGGCTTCAAAGATTGTCAGCAGAATAGCATAAAGTTTACCTGGGGGATGAGCAGAAATCAAAAATGTTGAAAATAGTTCTGAAAACGATCTGTGCAAGCGAGAAATGAAAGTACAAAATATTAGAACATTCGTTTTTCTTGGTTTTCGTCAGGTTGAAACTGGCCGAATATAGTTGAGGCGAAAATGAAAATATTACTTCTGTGTTGAATCATAACAATTCTTTTTTCAGACTACATTGTCGAAAATAGCAAATTCTCATATTGCTTCCTGCGCCATTGCAATGTTCGTGATGACAAACTTTCGTTCTAGTATTTTTATCAAAATTAGATCTGGCACTAAGCTACATGCTGGTGAAATGGAAAGGTTAATATCTATACTAGTTTTATTTTTATATGGTAAAGAAATGTTTCTTCCTTCCCACATGGATAACTACGTCATCTACTGTATATACTTGAACACGGGCAAAAAGTTTCTTATTGAGAAAGTACGACTGATATGTCGTCAACGTCACCATCATTCGAATTTGGAACGAATCGTGTTATGACAACTTGTATTTGTAAATAACGAACATTTACCATCACCATCCCTGTTGTCGATCGGTACAATAATTTCGAAAGACTGGCTCGAGCAGCTGCTAACACAGGACCGATCATCGCACTTGAACCGAGCAGGAGCATCGATTGGCTGAAAAATCGTACGATGACTGAGGCACTATCATCATCAGTCATATATCCCCCAAGCCATGCCGACAGATTATACGAAACGTTATGGGCATCAATAGCTGTTGAATAAGCTGTTAGATTAATAGTTTGTGACATACTCGTATTAGCTGATATTTGACCAAAAAAGTAGCAGCATCCACGATCACTAAACGCACCAAAATACTTTTAATGGCATAATAAACTGATGATCATTCCTAATGGTTCAAGCAAATCTCATCTACTATCACCTCGGTCCGGGATCAGAAAATGATAAATCACCATAAACTGAATTGAAGTAAGATACTTGTGTTATAGGTCCGTTTGTCGTCCAGCCGAGTGGAGATATTGATCCAGAACTTGTTTCGCAAACACCAGTTTCTCCGTCACCATTCACAACAATATTTGTACCAAAAGCTGTAGCAAAAACGTATCATTGTTCACAAAGCCAATGCCAAAGTTTTATTATACCTCCTGTTGCAGCGGGAGATGATGCCAGAACTGTATTATATGTAGCATAAGGACTTAAGTAATTCGTTGGACAAGCAAATGTTGTTGTTGTGGCTAGAACAACGACAGTTTGAGTATTCGAAAAAACTCTCAAAATGCAGTGAATTACTTGACGTAGTGCTTGTTGGGCGAGCGCTGGTTGTAGTTACTAAATTTTGAAAAATAACAATCTCAGCTTTCAGTTTACCTCTAAATCGTTTCAATTACTTGACGTAGTGCTTGTTGAGTGAGTGCTGGTTGTAGTTGCTAAATTTCCAAAAACAACAATCTCAGTCTTCAGTTTTCCTCTAGAAAGGTTAAATCGTCTGAATTACTTGACGTAGTGCTTGTTGAGTCGGCGCTGGTTGTAGTTGCTAAATTTCCAAAAACAACAATCTCAGTCTTCAGTTTTCCTCTAGAAAGGTTAAATCGTCTGAATTACTTGACGTAGTGCTTGTTGGGTCGGCGCTGGTTGTAGTTGCTAAATTTCCAAAAACAACAATCTCAGTCTTCAGTTTTCCTCTAGAAAGATTAAATCGTCTGAATTACTTGACGTAGTGCTTGTTGGGTCGGCGCTGGTTGTAGTTGCTAAATTTTGAAAAACAACAATCTCAGCTTTTGATATTCAGGCTAGAGTGGTTGATTATGAAGAAAATACTTATATTTAGAATGTCTGACACCAGTCCAGCGATACAGTAACTTCAGTCGTTGATAAGTAATTATGCTCTCATTAAAAGAATCTTTTCATATTTTACTTCACTCTTTTGATATTTTGCTTCACAAAATAAGAAAGGCTCTACCTAAATCATTACGGTTTTTGAACGAAAGTGAAACATCAAAAGCACTTCTGACTCGTTTTTATGACCAACTTTTATTCTTTCAGGAAATTTCTCTGGTTTAGGAAATTTTTAGCTTAAATCCTGAGAGCGCACCAGTTTAGCGCAAAATTATTACTAAGCTCTCTTTGGTTTACTGTCAATTTTCAAGAATCCTTTTGACTTTCTAAACTACGCTTTCAAGTTGTCTTCAAGTTTTCATCATAAGCATTCCTTGACAAAACCATTCGTGCAAACCTGATGGTACAAACATAGCTACAGTGAGAGGAAGGCTTAATGAAATCAAAATAAATGTGTAAATCTTGTATTTTATTTACTTGCAGTTGCTGAAATACTCAAAGATACTGTTGACGTTGTAACCGAGGTGCTTGCAGCTAGATAATAAATATAAAAAGACAGATTATCTAAGTTCAGAAAAAGTTATCCGTCAAGTAAGTGAACGAAATAATTACTTGTTGTAGTCAGTGCAGTTGTACTAACGCTTGTGGTAGTCAATTGTAGCGATGTAGTGACTAAAACGGAGAAGAATATATATTTTAAGCAACAAGAAGGTATTGAGAAAATGTTTTCTTCAATCATGGAAAAGCGCGTCAAGTTATTCCAGTTATAATCGATATGAACTATTGATACAAAATTGCTCAAAGTCTCGACCCGTTTAACAGTTTACTACGTATGTTTTAGCCAATATCCATAATAAAATAGAATGGGCGTGAGTAGTTTGTGAGTAACTCGAGAACGAAAAGAGCTAAAGAGATCGGGTTTCCGCCATTTAGAAGCCAAAACTTTGACGCATCTTTAGATAAGTGCAAACAAGTTGAAAATCGTATCTAGAAGTATCTGTCAGGTAAGTGAACGAGATAATTACTTGTTGTAGTCAGTGCAGTTGTACTAACGCTTGTGGTAGTCAATTGTAGCGATGTAGTGACTAAAACAGAGAAGAATATATAAAATAAGTCATAAAGAAAATGATAAAAAGTAAAAAACCTGCGAAAATGAAGATGTTTTGAATGAGATTCGTAACAAACAGACAAAAAAAATGTGTCTACTTTTTGTGAAACTTACTACTGAAACAATCTTATAGTACTACCCATAAAAGTAGAATGGGCGTGAGTAATTTTTGAGTAAGTTGAGAATGAAAAGAACTGGAGACATCGGGTTTCCGCCATTTAGAAGCCAAAACTTTGACGCATCTTTAGATAAGAGCAAACAAGCTGAAAGTCGTTGTTGAAAGTACTGTTTTCACAAGATCTTTGGTGAACCGATTTGTAACCCGACAAGCACACATAGAAATGTTTACGTTATTTTGCATTGTGGACAGCCCCAAGTGTCGTCTTGAACATGGGAGTCAAGCGACATGTTGCTTTCTAGTGTTTCTGACTTATTACTCACGCCCATTCTGTTATATTATACATAGTACTATAAGATTGTTTCAGAAGTAAACGATTCCATTCTCAGATTCATTTTGAATGTGGGTGAATGAGAAAATGCTTGAAGGGATTTCTAGAAACAGAAAAGTTACTTGTGTCGGTTGTTGTGATGCTAGTCGTGCCACTCATGATTGATAATGGCGATGATGAACTCATTGTTGTGCTAGAAGCTGAAAATAGACAGCGTTTGTCATATAAAAACGTACTTATTACTGATCAGTCCAGTTATTAACATGATAAAGCATGTGTTTTGTCAGAAGCAGGATGCTGTTGAAAATCACTCTCGTATTTTCGAATGAACCGATATTTACTACTGCTGCAAAAATTTTCCGTACGGTCCAAACTTTTTTTTGTTTTAACTATAACTCAGCAGAGAAGTGGTCGGGTCTTTCATGAAATAGTTTTCACCAAAATGTTACCCACTCATCCGAGTAAATTCGTCGAAAAAATAATTTAACATATTGGTTTTTCTTGTCTGTAGGTCGACATCAATGTTGGAATAGCTTCTCTTCGGGTATCGAAGAGCTGGAAAACTTTTGCATACCGCGAAAAATCACTTGTTTTCCTCGATCATAAGTTGCGAAGTGAAGCCTTTCTGGGGGTGCCGGAATAGCGAAATCCGACTTCAGCTAATACTTTCAAGTATTCTCATACTGCTAGCTGGAAAGATCCATTTTGAGCGATCAACCATTTTGTACTGCTGGGTGATTCGTTCGACAGTCTACCAGAGTTTATATCGACTTCACCGGAATTGTTCGAGAATAACACAACTAGTACATCTTGGGCTCCTGATGACGAATATCGCATTTAAAACATTCTAAAACAACGCCACGGTGGTCATCTAGACCTGTTGGGATCGCATTTTCCAGCATGAGCATGAACATTTTGATGAGCTTGATGGGGATATGGCTGCATTTTCCAGCAGAACAGACTTTACCTTAAAACCGGTTTGCCGGCCTCCAGAAAGCTTCTTTTTCAAAAACCCTTTTTACTGATTTTGTTATCTCCTCCGCTTTCCGCTGGTATAGTTTTCATAGCTTTAAACTTCTCTGACGGG